GATCCTCCTGCCTCAGCCTCCTGAGTAGCTGGGACTACAGGCGCCACCACATCTAGCTAATTTTTCTATTTTTATTAGAGACAGGGTCTCGCTCTTGCTCAGGCTGGTCTCGAACTCCTGACCTTAAGCAATGCTCCCACCTCAGCTTCCGAGAGTACTAGGATCACAGGCTGAGCCACCATACCCCACCTGGATATGAGTCTTTTAATAAAGTTTTATCCCACCAAAAATTTATACACGCACAAACCCCCAATGATCACTTCAAACAGTTAAAGTCATTTTTATCCTATTAAGGAAATAAAGCAATTTTTTAATCTTAGAAAATGACCCCAGATGACATAATACATGACACATTCATTTCATATGTACCCAGCAGGGCTGGGCCCCGAAGACCCAATCTTATTTTCACATCCTTGAGGAGAGCATTCGCTCTGAACTGGGTTCCAGAGCAGCCTTCGGTGCGGTTTGGTTGAGCAGGTGAAGGGTGGCACCGAGAGGATGGGCTGATGGTGAATCTGCATTGGTCCTTGTGGTCCAGGGTGGTGGAAGCATGGAGAGAACCAGGGTAGAAACAATCCCGTTTGGCTGGTTTCCAGAGCTGGACTCCACAGCTCAGCTGGACGCTCACTGTTCACTATGTACTTGCCTCGTGGCAGGTCCCGGGGCCCCACGGACTCATCCTCGGGGAGCTCATGGTCAAGGAGAAGAGTTAGGTAAGTGAGCGAGGAGTCACGACATGGGGTGCTAAGTGCAATGAGGGGTATGGCTAGTCAGGACACCACGAGAGGAAGGCTGGAGGCTCCCAGCTCTGCCTGAAGGCCCCTCTCTCTAGATGGGTCCCAGGGACATCTTCACGGTGGAAAAGATGATGTCATTTGAGCTGTGCCTTGGTGGACAAGCAGGAGTCTCCAGGCAGAGGGTAGCAGGAAGGGTGTTCCAGGTAGGGAGCTTGGTGCAGGGCTTCCCAGCAAGTGACAATCTTGTGGCTGGAGTTTGGGGGATGTAGGGGGACAGGGCAGGAGAGTTAGGATAGATGTGGGGATGGCCCCCCACACAAAGAACAGAGCCTTTCCTGCCTCTGCTTCTGGGAAATCCCGGTGCCTGGAACCATGTTTTCTGTGGATGATCTGTGGGCCACTGCTTTCCATGATATCCCGCCCTTAGGACCAAGCTGCGCGCAGTGGGTGGTCTTGTAGGGTGGCCTTTCTGCTTAGAGGAATCATTATTTCTGGCCCACCCTCTCGCGGCCCGGATTGCAGAACGGAGGATGGACACAGAAAGAAACACACAGACACACACACAAGACGTACAAGACTGCAGTGGGGATTCCACCAGTCGCTTTATTCTTATACTTTTCTCTGTCCGGCAGCTACTTCCTGGCACGTGACTGCCTTGGGCGCCCTGAGGAAAATACATTTTCATTCCTTCCAGACAATTGCTTAAGGGAAGCAGACGTTTGCATCTTAACTTCTTTATCTCATTACCATATGCAGGACAATGAGACGCCTTGGCTTGTTTGCAAGACCCCAGGCGCTTGGATATCTGTCATAAAGCTATCTGTCATGAGGAATAGTTCTGTTTGGTCAACAGGCCGTGCCTGTCATAAAGCTATCTGTCATGAGGAATAGTTCTGTTTGATCGATAGGCCGTGCCTGGGCCTATTGACCTCTGGCGCCAAGGAGAGCACACCCAGTTTCGCTGACTCTGGGCTTAAGCCAATTTTGCCCAAGGACAGTCCCTACACACCCTACCACCACAGTTACTAGTGTCCACCAAATAGAGCCTGCGGCCTGGCCCTTGGACACTCCACATGTGCAGAGTCCCTCCCTCCCCTTACCTGAGAGCGCATCTCTAAAGAAGAGTGGCCTTTGGTTCCACATTGTTTTTCTTCTGGAGTTGGGATCTGGTGGACAGGAGGACGTGAAGGAGGATGGGTCCCTCGGTGCCCAGATTTCTGGGCTGGTGGGGAGAAGCAGGGCAGGAGCTCTCAGAGCAGGGGTGTCGTGAACTGGCAGGCTGTTGTTGATCGGGCCCAGAGTCTGGGTGGGCACAGCCACGTGGCAGGTGGGAGGGGCTGCTCCAAGGGCATACCTGAAGGACTGGGCCTGCCAGAGGAAGCTTCTGGCCTTGGTGATCTCCCGGGCCAGTATCCTTAAATCGTCTCCTTCAAACGGTGGCAGTGCAGGATCCTTGGAAAGGGGAAATGAGAGTGAAGTTCGATTCATTCGATAACTGGATGAGACCTGAAAATCTAAAATCTCAGAAGAATTTTAGATCCAATTAAATGTACCCTCCCTTCCGGTGCAGGAAATCTTGTGGGCCTCAGCATGTATGTCTCCAGGGATGGGAAGCTCACTACCTAGCAAGGCAGTCATTCTGCCAATGGGACACTTTGAAATAAGATGTCTGAGAGGCAACACAGAGAGGGGGTGGTGTCCAAGCAAGATGGTTTCTGAAGCTGAGTGAAGTTGGTACCTCTCCAGGCTCGGCAGAACTGAAATGGCATCTCTCTGCTACTCAGTAAAACCTGTTCAGGTCTTTCTCCATTTCTTCTAGTAAAATAGACATTCATAGGCATGCTTTTGTGTGTTTGTGTGTGTGTTAATTTTATTAATAATAAAATTGCAGAGCCTAGCCTTAAAAACACACATCTCACAATTAAGTTCCAAGAAAGAGACGAAGCTGTTCGTTTTCCCCGGCAGTAGTAGCAGTGATCCCACTCTGCAAGCAAAAACTATTAAAGAATCTGATTTGATAGGTACTAAACTGAGAACCTTCACGGTAGAGTCGTTTGGTTTCCTGTGTCATAAGGACCCTCGGGTGACTATTCATTACTTTTACCAACTTGTTCTGCTGTCTGTATTATTGGTAATCTTTGTCCCTAGAAGAGTTACTCAAACAAAGCAGTTATTATAAGGCCACCCAGACTTCAAAAATGATGGCATGTCATGTGAAAGTAACCTTTAACTTCCAAAAAGCCATCTGGAATTCTGATCGATTATCTTATTTGATAATTTGTTGCCCTGGAAGTATTATCGTTGACCATACTGCATTCCTAAAAGATATAAATATGTGCAGAATTTTTCCATCCAATAAAAAGAGGATCATCAGAATTTGTGACTTTGCTGGATTTATTCCTTAATAGATAACCTATGACTGTACTAGATCTAGTGCTTAACAGATAACGAGAACGTCTGTGTTTCGATGAATTTCTAGGAATGCATGAAATGTGCAGGAATGAAAGCACAGAGGTTAAGATCACAGGCGTTTTGGCTTCATGAGCTCCTGGGGCGTCAGGTGTATGCCTACACCTCCCTGAGCCTGTTCATTCATCTGTCAAAGGGTACCATAATTAAAAGAGGAAATCTATAGAAAGCAACATAAGTCTGATCTGACCATTATTAAATAACGCCCCAAACCCTGCTTGTTTCCCAGCCTTGAAGAGAGTGGGCCTAGCCTACGAGGACAGCAGCAAGGATATCCCACGCTTTTTAGTCCATACTTTGTCTCACAAGGGAAGCAGAGATCTTTTTAGTGAGAAGGGAAACCCCACGGCTGTCAACAGACCTCGTAGCTCGGCGACCTACCCTTTCCTCGATGAAGCCTTTGGTCAGCAGGCCATGGATTGTGACGAGCGTGTCCTCGCCGACAGGGCAGTGGTAGCGGCCCCCGGTGAGCGAAGCCAGCTTTCTCAGGAACTCAACCGCTGCTCTGCGGGGAGGAACGGAGGCTGCACCCGGCAAGTTCCCTGTGAGCCCCCATTCCCACGGGGAACTTAAGGCTGCAGGGCTCAAGAGAAAACGGTCTGGCAGTGGGCCTTTGCTTGAGCCATGGAGACCACCGTGCATGTCCCCAGGTACACTCTCCCGGCCAGCGCACTCCAGCCCCTGTTCCCCTGCTAGACATCTAACCAGTGCTAACTATGAATTAGTCCTGTAAGGGACACAGTGTGACCTTTACAGAGCTCATGGTTTCGACAGGGAGATAAAATATGTACCTATGTAATCCATTTTGCTAATGATAAAGTTTTTTTCTAAAGGAGCTGAGTCTCTCTGGTCTAAACATGTTCTATAGTGATTGTTTATGAAAATACCATAATGATGTTATGTTAATCTATTAGGTTTTCCCCTCTAGCTTTTTCCCCTAAATAGTCACAGATGTGTTCCCAAGAAAGCTCAGGAGGGAGGCTACGACGTGACCGTGGGAACTGGGGTGCGAATGTGTTTCCAGGCTGGAGAGAGTCAGGTGCGCAGCCCGCCGGTGGGCACAGGGAGGGTGGAGAGGGGCTGTCACTCCGTGGTGCGCTGCCTGCCCCGGCCCTCTAGGAAACAATGCTTCTCCTAATTTCTCACTTAAATGAGTAGGGCCCAGGAGAGACAGCATCTGAGTGAGTCCCTGGATTAGGTGAGGAGCTCAGACCTTCCCCCGTGGGAAAAGAATAAAACTCAGCACCGACTCCTCAGCGCCCACCTGTCTGAGCAGTTGAAGGAAATGGTGTGCACTTTCACGTCTCTCTCCTCCCTGAGTCTTTGGACCTCACTGAGAACAAGGCTGCAGCTCGTGTCTGGCTTCCCGTCGGTCAGGAGGTATAATCCTTCCAGGTCGTGAAAACTGAAAGCTTTCTGAAAGAGCACAGGAAGGTTATCAGGTTGTCAGGCACAGGGGAAGGGCTCACCCACAAGGACAAAAACCAATTGCCTGAAGGTGGGGCCTGCTGTCCCCAGGGAAAACGTGTCTGGTTGGATGCCACTGATTTGTTGTCCAGTGAGACTGAGAGACTCACCTTGCAGCCTAAGACAGACCAAGGAAGCTGCTAAGGTTTAGGAGCAAGAGCATGGCCCACTTCCTAGCTGGTTAACCCCGACCGAGTCACCTAACCTCTCTGTGTCTTCATCTATAAAGTGAGAACAACCAGAATCCCTTTCTCATTGGGCTGTTGAGAAGATGAAATGAAGTCACGCTTTGTAAATTCTAAAGTGCTCTTCGTAATCCTACAGCATTGTGCAATATTGGTACCAGGGACGATGGCATTTGCTTTGCTTTGGGCTTGGGCTCAGTGGTAGAACTTGCCAGCAATGCTTGCAAGACTGAGGTGCTCCCCTGAGCTTGCAGGTGGGTCACCCATTGCATAGCCTCGTGACACGCTGCATCCGTGGTCTCCACCAGAGCGTCCTGCCACGGCTGAAGGCCTTCTGCAAAGCTGAGCAGGTTAAAACTGGAGGGGCAGAGGGGGCGAGAAGATTGGTTAGAGCAGGCCCCAGTCTGGACTGGATTTGGTGGAAGTCACCTTTGTGAGGGCCATTGACGCCTGCCACTGAAGACCCCTATGACAAGCCCCATGGCCCCTCGGGGAGAAGGCTGGGGGCCCCTTGAGAACAAGAGGGGCAGGCTGACAATAGCGGATACAGACGGAAACGGGCTTAAATCCTAGCTCGGTCACTGAGTGGTTATGTGATCTTGGGCAAATTACTTAACCTCCCTATCTTCCTTTTTCTGGAAAATGAGGGATAGCAAAACCCTATAGGCTGCCAAGATTGATGAAATCATGCGTGTGAAGCACTCGGCACACAGAAAGCGCTCAATAAATGTTTACTCTTATTAAGGCAAGAATGAGTCCCAGCCTGGGACCAGAGCACCCTGCTGTCCCCTCGGGGTCATCCCTTCTGGATAGAGAGAACAAACAACTTCCCCCATTTAAAAATAAAGTTCACAAAAATAAATAATAATGATAATGATTAAATAAATAAATAATCAAATTCAGCTGAAAGCCACGATTCAAGGCCACATGGTAGTCCCTTTGCTGTGCTTGCGAATATTCCTAGGCCTGAAATGGATTCTAAAAATTGTTCCCTTTCTGCCGTCCAGCAGAGTATAGTGGTCTTCCCTGCCCAGGTAAGCTACTTAGAAGAGCATCTCAGACACCTCCCGGCCGACTGGAACTGAGAGGAAGGAGCGTGTTCTGCCAGGGAAGCCCCGGGAACTGCCCCTTGGATCTCCCTGAGCCTGGCCCCAGCCTCCTACCTGTGGCAGCGCTTCCGCAGCTGTTCCCAAATCAGCAGAACCAGCCCTGTTTTCACCTGCTGCAGGTAGGGGCCCATGGACCCGGATGTGTCCAGCAGGACGCACACTTTGCTCTCCAGGATGGCACCAAATAGTCGGCGGCTCCCTGCTCCGAAACGGGAGGGGGCAGAGGCAGGACATGGCGAGGGTCCTCCTGCTGGGTGGGCTTCCTCGCCGTGTCTGTCTTACACAGTCTCCCAACACCTGTTGTCTGCCTGACAGTGGAGCACACATCACCCTACGGGGAGATGGCCTTTGTGGGGTCGTGGCAGGGTCAACTGTCCCAGGGCAGAGCCAGTGGGTGGTTTGGGGCCCTGGCTCTGCCCATGATGATTTGTACAAGTGGTTAGAACCTCCCTGGGCTCAAGTGTCCTCACCCCTAAAATTAAGTGATTGCATTAAACAGTGTCACAGTATTATTTGGGGCTGGAAAAGATGTTAGGGAGCACGTAGTCAGTCAACTGGTCCTCAGAAGTTAACTGAGCATTTGCTATGTGCTATGTGCACAAAGTACGGTGGTGAACAGGAGAGGGTCCCTGCCCTGCAGAGCTTATGGTTGGGCAAGGAAGACAGATGTTAAATAATTACAACTCTGTCCAGGGTTAGGACAAAGGGGCGTCGTGGAAGCACACAATGGGGAGAATTGAAGTTATTAATAGACAGATCTAGGGTGGGTGCCAGGAAGCCAAGGAAGGATGCGCAGCAGTTGGCCAGTGTGGGCAGACAGAGGGAACAGCCTAGAAAGGACATGAGGATGGGGAGGAGAGTGGGGCCTGCCGGAGGGGCAGAGAGAAGCCCGTGTGGGGAAACGACAAGGTTGGATTGGAGAGACCCACGGAGACAGGGATGAGAGATGAAGCTGGAGAGGTTGTTAAAGGGCTCGGGATTCATCCCCAGGGGACACCCAGAGGGCTGGCGACTTGGCGGATCACTCGGGCTGGCAGACGCAGAGCCGAGATCAATACCCAGGTGCTCTGACCCACACTTCAGTCAGGCCATCTCTGGCGCTGGTCCCAAATGGAGCTAAGACAGGGGGAAGCCAGGCAAGCAGAGGGTGACGCGTCCAGTGTTCTGGAAACACGCCACTGGTGGCGGCGGTGGGGAATCTGACAAACCGCTGCAAAATGGAACAGCCGCTCTCCAGGCACAGGTGCCCTGAGCCGGCTGCACTGCTGCCCGGGAGCCTCCAGGACTCACCTGGGGTGTTCTCTGGCAACGCTCGTGACAAAAGGAGAATAAGAGCGGAGCCTTCCTGAAGCAGGGGGTTCCGTGAGGATACCCAGCCGGCCAGTCAGCTGGCAGGGGCACCTCCAATCACAAATGGCCCGAGGTCCACCTTTGGAACCAGACGGCGGAAACACTGCAAGCCACCAAACCCTGTTGTCTTTCATCTCCCAAATCTCTCTGACTCTGCCTGCTGATCCATCCCCATCTCCATACCTTTTCCAGCTCTCTCAATCTTTCACCTGGTCAAGACTAGGTCACCCTGATTCCACTCTGTGCCCTCAACAACTTATTTCCCACACGGCAATCAGAGGGATTACTGCAGATGCCAACCTGATCACTTTCCCCTTCTTTAGGGGCGTTCAGTGGCTTCTCATTGCTCCTAATCAATAGCGAAGTCCCTTTCCTGTCCTTGTCTCACCAGGAGGGCCTCGCCCTTCACTCCCCTCGCTCTCGGCATCCCCTCCCCACTCAGCCCACGCCTGTTCTGCCGCTCTCTGCCCCGTGAACATCTATCCATTCTGCAGATCTCAACTGACACATCACCTCTTCGGGGAAGCCTTCCTGACCTGCCTGCCCAGGCCCACTGCCCCTCTAGAGGGGTCTCCAGCACCTCGCCTGCCTCTCCCTGTACTTGTCGCAGTTGCCACATCAGACTCGTTTGTGACTCTTGGGTTAACGTGGGTCTCCTCTGAGACCGTGCACTCCGTGAACTCAGGGACCAGGTTGGGTTTTCCTTCCACCCTCTCCCCAGCACCTAGCAGGAGAGCAACACTCACTAGCGGCACAAGGAATGAACGAGAGAATGCAAAAATGGATGGAGCATCCCCGGGGGAGGTTCTGAGGTGGGAGACAGCGTTCATATGTGAGGTGTGGGACTCGTACTACGAAGGAAGCAGCTGGATCTCTGGGGTATCTGTGAACTGGGAATGAGGAGAGGCTCACACCCACTTTGCCCCACCTCAGCCTCTGACCTGCGACTGGGGCCTGCAGCCCCCTCCGGAGACTTTGGAATAAGCGGTCATCGCTGCAGCTACTACCCGTGGACTGTTTGTGCCAGGTCCTACCACAGAGGATTGGACCTAATGAATTTGCACAAGACCCTGCGTGGCCCACACAAGGCCACCCATAGGGTCTCTATATGACTCTCTCCTGCTTCCCAGGCCCCAAAGCCTGAACCCCCTCCTGTCTGGGTCTAACTATCTACCCAGCTTCTTGGACTCGGTGCTTCGGACCATCTCTTAGTCCCCAGCCCCGGCTCTGGGAATGTCAGCCTGGCTCTCCTCAGCCACTGCAACCTCCCTCCGCCTCTCCCAGAGGGCCTCGGCACTCTTTGTAGAGAAGAACGGAGGCTCCTTCTCTGTCAGGACCCCTCCCATCTCTGCCTCCACGGGCCGGTTCTATGGGGCCAGGTCAGTGCTAAAGTAAGCCCCTCGAGGGTGAGCCCCCGTCACATGCAGGAAGACGAGCTGCAGACTGTGGCCCTGCAGAGAAGCCCTGGCCAGCACACGTTCTCTCTGGGGCCCTTTGGCCCCTGCACCCTGTCATCCAGCACCTGGCCGGACCTCTGAACCCAGAAGCCTAGTTGTACCTGGATGACCCTCCTGGCTCAATCCCCTGACCTGACAGTCCGTGAGGGCCTGGCCTTAGAAGGACTGACCCCAGGGTCCCCGGACCCTCGCCTCTTCTCCTGCCCCGCCACCCCCTGGGACGGTGGGCAGGCTCACCAGACAGCAGCCACTGCAGCCTCTGGACATAGCGCCTCATCACCTTCTCCACGCACCTGACGTACACCTCCATGTCCCTGGGCGTCCACTGAATGTGTCTCACCACGCCCTGGAGCAAGGCAAGTGAAAGCAGACGCCCACCCCTCAGCTGTCTCTTCGTAGCCCTGCCACCCTTTAAGACAGTTCAATTCCCAAAACATCTGTTAGGCATGTATTTTTGTTTGTTTAAAAGCCTTTTTCCCTTTTACTAAACTAGTAGATTTATGGTTCTACAATGTTGTAGAGGCACAAGGATGATGGTTTTGTGGCAAAGGCAGTCACTATAGCACTAAGAAAACACAATATCTCTAAATTTTAAAATAGAAAACCCTGAGTGGTGGGGCGAGAAGTCCATAAATTTCAGTCCAAAAGATGACTTGGATGGAGAGGGGAGGCACCCTAGTGCGACCGTAAGTTCTTTCGGTGGACCATTTTGAATTTCATGGCTATTGTAGTTTCCCCTAATGTTGATAACACAGTACAAAACAGCAAGGAGAGAAATGATTAGGTTTTCATTTTGTACTAAAATTACTTGCTCCAGTGCCAAAACAATGAAAAAACATTACCCCCAAATTAGAACACAGAGACGAGAACCACCTCACTTCCTGTCATGACCCGTTTGCTGCCGTCCTAACACACCATTGTCAGTGTCGGGGTACAAAGTGCTCAGGGGTGATTGCAAAGTCGCTGCCGTCTGTGCCCAGAAACTGTTTCTAATCCTCCCTCCATGAGCCTGTCGACCCTGGAGTGTGATCTCAGGCCTCCGGGGAGCTGGCTTTTCTCCCAGCAGGATTCTGCATCCCCTGTGTGCCGAGGGGAGCCCCACGCTGGGGGTGGTGTTCTTACAGGCAGGAAGAGATGCCACGGTGCTGTGCACTGCTCTCTGCCACTTGCAGCTGAGAAGAGGCAGAAGCTGGGGGGGAGCCAACGGCAGCACCTGTGACTCACATTGACCTCTATGCTGGGGAAGGCACTGCAGTACTTGGCGGACGCTGATCTCCGTGCTGACTTTTGATGAGCGCAGCTGGGACCGAGGCATCTGGAGATCTCCAGCTTCAATTTTTTCAGCCCATAATTTGCTACCCACTTTGGAATAAAGGAAAGAACTATTATCTTAAGTAACTGAGGCTTAATTGAATGACCGACTCTTTCTTTTTTGAGACAGTGTCTTGCTCTGTCGCCCAGTCTGGAATGCAGTGTCTCCATCACAGCTCACTGCAGCCTTGAGAGGTCCTGCACAGCCTCAGCCTCCTCACAGGGAATCACTCAGGAACCACTGACCGCCCAAGAGGCGAACCCTGAGACTCCAGCGTTTCACCCCAGAACTTCAGAAGGCAGGAGAGGGTGATGTGCCTGGGCTGGATCCCGAAATCTGGTGTTCTTTGAATGAGGGCAGCGCTTGCGTGCACAGAATCCCCTGGAAATGCAGCCCCTTGGCTGGGAATAATTGAATTCCTGGGGTCAAGAGATACTCCCACGTCAGCCTCCCAAAGTGCTGGGATTATAGGTGTGAGCCACCATGCCTGGCCTGGCTCATTTATTAAAACCTCATGTTTGGCCAGGATTTTCAGACCAGCCTGGGCAACATAGCAAGACCCCATCTCTACAAAAATTTTAAAAACCAGCTGGGCATGGTGGCATGTGCCTGTAGTCCCAGCTACTTGGGAGGCTGAGCCAGGGAGGCTCAAAGCAATTAGAGCAGCATGACTTCCAGGATCTGCACAATCAGAGTCAGAATCAGGCTTTCATTAAATAATTGTGGGAAGAAGGATGTTCTATCTTCTTATAGGAACAAGTAGGAGGATTTCTGTTGCTTGCAACCAAGAGGATCTGATACCACTAAGTACTTTACACAAAATACACTTTAATCCTCACATCAAGTTCCTTAGTAGATACAACTATCCTCATTTTACAAACAAAGATATTGAGTGTAGCTAAGTGACTTGCCCAAGGTCACCCAATTAGGAAGCAGCAGACCTAGATTTTGAATTTAGATCTATTTAACCCTTATTGCATCTGCTGCAGTAAGCAGTCATTCTTTGCAGGTTTGCTCTTATTTCTAAGCTTGCCCACCCTCCTAGAAGTAACAGTTGGTGGAAAGAATTACTGTATTGCCTAAGGGGTATGTGCTGGTGCAGACATCTCAGTACCTCTTGGCTTGAGCAAACCGTATCCTTTCTGGGCAACTCAATGGAGGAATTGGTCCTTCTTACACCCTTTCCTTGAGGGTACTTCTTGTACACTGCGCCTAGGAGAAACAGAGCGAGGTCACTGCTATAGTTTGGGTGTTTGACCTCTCCAAATCTTGTGTTGAAATTTGACCCCCAATGTTGGAGGTGGGGCCTACTGAGAGGCGTTTGGGTGGCTGATGGGGGCAGATCCCTCATGAATAGATTAATGGCCTCCTTGGTGGGGTGGAGGGAGTGAGTGAGTTCTATTAGTTCTATTAGTTTCCAGGACAGCTAGTCATTAAAAAGAGCCTGGCACCGGCCCTGTCGCTTGCTTCCTCTCTTGCCATGTGATCTCTGCACACATTGGTCCCTTTTGCCTTCCGCCCTGAGTGGAAGCAGCCTGAGGCTGTCACCAGATGCCCAGTCTTCCAGCCAGCAGAATCATCAGCCAAATAAACCTCTTTTCATTACAATCACCCAGCCTCAGATATTCCTTTACAGCAACACAAACAGACTAAGACACTGTGCACCTCTCTCCCCTCCCCCTCCCCCAGCTGCTCCCTTTCTCATGTCAATTTCTCTGTCAATCAAGTCACTGTAAAATTCCTCAGGTGCCATTTGCTGAGAGGTAGAAAGGGAGGCTGTTAGGTGCTCAGAGTCTCCCACTTGGCCTGAACTGCTGCTGGGGTCTGCACTCTCACAGTGGCCAATCAGGCTGGCCTTGGGAATGAATCATCTCCACCCCCTTCCCAGTCGGCCTCCAAGCTAAGGAAACAGCCCCTAGCGGATGCAGCCAGAGTTTCCCAGGGTCTCACAGGTCTCATCTTCAATACTGACTTTCCTCATTCTCTGTCAGCGCCAAGACTTTGCATGTCCATTTCCCTAGGCTGGGAGAACTGCGTTGTGTGAGGACAGCCTTGCTCCAGAGGCATTGTGGCCCATGTCCTGGGACAGTAGGAGGGGTCTCCTTCCCATGGGGCCCGCTGCCCCTCAACAGTTCCCACAGGGTGAAGGGGCCATATGGACACTCGCACAGCCCCCAGCTTACCCACTTTATTCCCTGTGTCTGTGTAGAACAGCAAGAGAGCTGTCTCTGCTTCCCGTGACTTGGTCTTCCTCCTCCGTTCTGTTGTGACATCTTTCACTGGCTGGGCTGCAGCTAGAGGACATTGGGCTTGTTGGCTGGAGCAGCCTAGTGACTTCATGTGATGAAGCTGTCCAGCCTGACTTAAGGACTTCTCAACTCCAGCTAGACTCTAACCCAGGAAGTGGGGCTCTAAGATGGCTCTGATGCACCCCTTGTCCCCATCCCAAGTCCTCCGGCCTCTCCCAGATCAGTGACAGCCAGAGCTTCCATGTACTGAGTCCAGATGTCCACCGGGTGTGGTGCTCAGTCCTGGCATGCCCCGCCCCGTTTCATCTCACAGTCCCTAGACTGCAGATGAGGGAAGCAGGACTCAGAGCTGGCCAGAAGCAGAGCGGTGATTACCCCCTGGTCTTGCTGACTCTAGAACTCAGCTCTGGGCCACTCTGCCATGTCTTTGACATTAGAAATAGCATACATGGTCTTGGGTTCTTTCTTTCTTTTTTTTCCTTTTTTTTCTTTTAATTTGAGAAAGGGTCTCAGTCTATTACCCAGGCTAGAGTGCAGTGGCATGATCATAGCTCACTGCAGCCTCAAACTCCTGGGCTCAAGTGATCCTCCTGCCTCAGCCTCCCAAGTAGGTGGGACTACAGGCACACACCACCACATCCAGCTAATTTTCTATTTTTTGTAGAGAGGGGGTCTCACTATATTGCCCGGGATGGCCAAGCCTGAGTTCCTTCACCAGTGAAATGGGAGCTGATCGCGTACTGCGCACAGGATTGTCATAGGCTTTTTAAACCGGACACTCTCACAGACGGGCTGGCATGTGATCAAGCTCATGCCTGATCATGGATACTTTCGGCGCTATGATTATTAATCCATGCCTCAGCTGTGCCTGTGCCACCCTTCGCCCCACCTGACCGCGGCCATGCCTTACCTGGCGAGGTGTCTGCTCTGCCACTGAGGGGACGCCATTTCAGAGCCTTCAAGGGGGGGCTCTTCTCTCTGTCTGGGTCATCTTTGACGTTCTAGAAAACAGGCCATCTTTCCCATCAAAGGCCTGTTCTCTGTGGTGGGCAGTACCCTATTCACCCCAGCCTCAATCTGTCAATGAGGAACTTCGCAGAGAGGAGCCTAAGGGAGGGGACTCCTCAGACACGTCTGGCCGCATCTCCTACAGTGGATTCGGAGGGGACTCTGGGTTTTGAGGTGAAAGGGCATGTGTGCCTGTGCATGCGTGTGTGTGGCATGAGAGTGAGAGAGTGTGCCAGGACAGCTGTGGGGGTCGCCAACTGCACCAGTTGCCTGCCCCTCTTCCTACTGGCCTGGGATATCAGGGCCTCCAGCATGTCGAGCAAACATTCGGGTAACTTCTGTCTCTGTTGGGCACCTCAGTTTTCAGGAAGGAGTTCTGTCATTACTGGGCACAACTGGAATGTCACCCAGGGTCCTGTACCAGCTATGGAGATCTCTGGGTGAGCTGCTGGGACAAAGACCTGGAACTGCCATCCAGGGAGCCCCCAGCCTGGTATCAGGAGGGCCCAGGAGAGGTCCTGCACAGCCTCACCCTCCTCACAGGGAATCACTCAGGAACCACTGACCGCCCAAGAGGCGAACCCTGAGATTCCAGCGTTTCACCCCAGAACTTGGGAAGGCAGGAGAGGGTGATGTACCTGGGCTGGATCCCGAAATCTGGTGTTCTTTGAATGAGGGCAGCGCTTGTGTGCACAGAATCCCCTGGAAATGCAGCCCTTTGGCTGGGAATAAGCTACGTACTGTCTGGGATGGACTTCCTCATTTTGGAAATGTGCCACGTTCACAGGGGCCTGTCAGCCAGTGAAAGGCTGAAGAACTCACGGGTTTCAGTGCCCCTTCAGCTCACAAGCACGGCTGTGACTGGGGTCTTCCCTCTGGAGGCGCCCTGACCGCCGTGGTGGGGTGGCTATTTCACGCAGGACAGATTTGACAGAGTGGGGGTGGGGCTGAGCCCCAGCAGGCACAGGTCCCCCCTCGGCCTCCTGTCAGGTCTCCGCTAAGCCTTGAGCAGCAGCAACAGAGCCTGTTAGAGACCCTAATTCCCTTTCCCTGAGGGACCCTCCAGGTTAAGGCAGCAGACGTTGACAGTGGCTGTCAATTCCATGGCGTCCTCAGTACCAGGCTGGGGACGATGCTGGGATAGGCAGGCAGAGCCAAAGTTTGGGGTGGGGTGGGGGCAGAGGAGCCCCCAGAGCTGAGAAGCAGGTCCCGCAGGGGAGGTGCCAGGGTGACAGGCACCTGTGGGATGTCACCACGGAAGACCCCACCCCCATTCCTGTTGGCCCTGGGGCCCGGAGGCCTGGCCCAGGCATCTTAAGTTCAGGAAAGACCAGGAGCCAAAGTGGAAACCAAACGCTCTGAGTGTTATTAGGGAGGGGACTCAAACCATTCTGGCCACCGAGGGGGCCGTGGACTTGGGAGAACAGAGTTTCTTGGGCTGACGTCTCTGCTGGAGCATCTTTGGCTTTTCTTTCTGGAGGTCTGCACTTTCCTTTTCTTTTCCTGAGTGATTCTTCAGGGAGGCTACCAGTAAGGCACACTGCAATGGGAGTGGAGGGTTAGCAGTGCCCCAGCCACCGTGGACGGACAGACGGACAGGCACATACACACCTGGCAGGAACACCTGGGTCTACTGGAACCCCTGGCATCTCCTGGACTCCTCTTTTTGTCCCTAGAAAGCCACCTGGGGTGATGGTGCTGTGGATCAGTACCACTAACCATAAGTTCCAGGCATGGAGGGCCTGGGGCATACCAGGCACTGGGCTAGTTAATGTCATGCCAACAAGAACATGCCAACTCTGCTGGTAGGGTCGCTGCTATCTTATCCCCATTTTGCAGATGAGGAAACCAAAGCTCTGTGAGCTCAAGGTCTTTGTCCGAGGTGACGCTACTAGTATGTAGAGAAGCTTCGATTCAAACTCAGGTGGGGCTAGTTCCAAAGCCAATGCTCCTTCTGTCATAAGACACTGTGGCCTGCACAGGGGCTGATCAGGTCACCATATACCAGGCTGAGTCCAGATACTGGCACAATAATGGCGTAATACTAGGTTCCTTTTGCCTACAAATTTCTCGACTGCCCAAAAGGTCCTCCCTTGATCTCAGTGAAAGCACTAGAAGCCACCATTCAAGTGTAAATAAGCATCCTAAGGAAGGGTGGATCGAGCCATTACTGCCCATTAACACCTTGGGAATGAGTTGTTCAGGTGAGGGAATGGGACTGATGTGCACCTGAGGAGAGGGGAGTTTGAAAAGCACCAAAGGGTGCTGGTTCCAGGACAGCTCAGGCAGGTCCAGCAGAGCCACAGATCTGCCCATCCAATGGCCACAGAGGAAAAGAACGTGGAGACGTGGCCCTGCCCTCCCAGGAGTCCACAAGCCAGTTGGGGAGATGAGTCATTCTGCAAATGGTGAGTCAGAGGAGAGCCCTTTGCAGACACCTCTGAGGCCTGGACCATGGCCCCTGCATGCTCTCTGTCCATCAGCATGGCTCGAACTGCCCCAAGTCTCTATCTCCAGCCATAGCTGTTCCTACCTGCCCACAGGATACCCTCGCTTATTGATCTCAAGGCCCCACACACTCACCTTTGTCCCAAATCCACCTTGACTTACGCCCCCCAAGAGCCCTTCTCCTGTTTTCTCTGTCTCGATCAATGGCACCACTGTCTACTGGGTCCACCAGTAAGGAACTTCGGAGTGTTCTTCCTTAAGTGTTCTCATGTCTGTCCCCTTGTTCCCACGCTCATGGCTTCTACCGTGATCTGGCCCCTTCCTACCTCTCTAACTGCACCTTGTACTGCTCAGCTGCCCTCTTTGAGGAAGTGACATTTCAGTGCATCTTGGACAATGAAGACCAAGCCACGGAAGGTCTAGGAGGGGAATGGCGGGCAGAGGAAACAGCGGATGTAAAGGCCCAGAGTTTAGGAATGAGCTTGGTGTGTTCAAGGAACTCAAAGGAGGCCAGAATTTACAGCACCCAGACCTAAAACCAGTGACTTGTAGGAAACACTCATGTTTCACCTGAAGCCTTGGGTGTCAGTGGATAAGGACATGAAGAGGGGAGCTGAAATGGGATGAGTTGTGTCCCCTGAAAAGATAGGCTGGTCTGAGGCCCCAGGACCTGTGAATGTGACCTTACTTGGAAATAGGGTCTTTGCAGATGTAATCAAGATGTAAACTAAGATGAGGTCATACTGGAGTAGAATGGGCCCTTAATCTAAGGTGACTGGTGTCCTCGTAAGAGGAGAAGAGATACAGACACACCCAGAAGGAAGATAATCATGTGAAGACAAAGGCAGAGATTGGAGTTATGCTGCCATGAGCCAAGGAATGTCAAGGATTGCCGGTGACAAGGACTCCCTCCTTGACCAAACTTACGTTCCTCTGAGCCTCCTTTTCAACAAGACCCTGGCCTGCTGAACCCAGTTTTAGCAAATAATCCTGACAAGTCCAGTTAGTGAGACTCGCTCCACCCTTGATATCCAATCAAATTCCTCATCTCCCACGTTGATATTAATATCTGAGTCCTTGGCCAGCCTTTAGCAAGAATCCCCTACCTGTGACATCTAATCAAGTTCCTCTTAGTAATTTTCTGTCCACTGACTCCACTCATTGGCTATAGATCCCCAGCTATCATTGTTATCATCGGAGTTGAGTTCAATCTCTCTCCCCTATTGCAATAGTCTTAAATAAAGTCTTCCTTGCCATTTTAAATGAACATCCAGTGCCATTTTAAAAAAAAGTTACCACCAGAAGCTAGAAAGAGGCAAGGAAGGATTCTCCCCAGAGCCTTCAGAGGGAGCGTGGCCCTGCTGACAACCTGACTCCAGACTTCTAGCCTCCGGAAGTATGAGAGAACAAATGGGTGCTGTTTAAAGCCACCCAGTCTGTGCTAGTTTGTTACGGCAACCACAGAAAATGAACACAGAAGCCAGTGCAGTCACTTGGTCCATGCCCACGGCATACCTTTTGGGAGTAGTTGAGAGCCTTCTCCATCTCGGACACGATGGCGTTGATGTCATCGCTCTCATAAATGCCTGGAAACAAAGCACACTGTGAGCGTGGGGACGGGGGTGGACCCTGCAAATGTCCACATCTGGACACACCTGCAGAGGCGACTGGAGTCCGAAGAAGAGCGTGGGGTCTTAATGGGCCGAGCTGACCTGCCCCCAGCCCACACTGTCCAGTGGTGAAGAGGATGGGCAGGTGTGGTGCGGTCACCAACAGTGGGGCTGGCCTTGTGACCCAGGGACCTGACACACACCCCCAAGAAAAGCAGGTTAGGTGCAAAAGTCCCGCTACTCCAATGAATAAAAGGACCTACCCTGGAAGTATCACAGTATGTGATGTCTGTAGTGAACACTGATGTCTCGTTTGAGAGGGACTAGAGTATAATGGCTACAAAGACAGACTCTGAGGCTGGGCTGCCTGGGTTCAACTCCTGGTTCCACCACTTGACTACCTGTGTGCTCTTGGGTTCTGTGTCTCAGCTTCCCCATGTGTAAAATGGGATAATAATCACCTACTTCACAGGGTTATTGTGAGGAACAAATCGTAATACAGGTTGGCATCCCAAACCCAAAAATTTAAAATCCTAAATGCTCCCAAATGTGAAACTCTTTGAGCGCCAACACGATGCTCAAAGGAAATGCTCATTGGAGCATTTCAGATTTCGGATTTTCAGGTTTGGGATGCTCAACCTGTAAGTATTCCAAAATCTGAAAAAATCCGAAATCCAAAACACTTCTGGTCCCAAGCATTTAGGATAAGCATATTCAACCTGTATCTGTAAAATGCTTAGAACTGTGTCTGGCATATATTAGCTGTTGGATAAGTGTTTGCTATTATTAGTGATAAGTACCAATAGTAACTTAAATGTACACACCCAGAACTTTTCAGGAAAGAACGAGCCAGGAAACAGGGCCCCAGAGTCCAACCGCTGACTTTGTAACCACAGGCACATCATGTCCCTGGGAGTCACTTCACTTATGAATCAAAGAGGATGGAATGCACCAGTGTGTTCCGGCCTCAATCACTCCCATGTCGCTGTCATGAGTTTTGTCTTGTCTGCATCCCACTTAAACCATGATTTCCTTCAAATGTGTATTTCAATCCACTCACTTTTTGTTTGCTTAACAGTACAGCACTTAATGTTGAGCACTGCTCAATGATGGGGACATGGTCTGAGAAATGCATCATTAGCAATTTCGTTGCTATGTGATCACCGAATGCGCTTGCACAAATCTAGATGGTGTAGCCCACTACACACCTAGGCTATGGGGAGTAGCCTGTCGCTCCTGGCTACAGACCAGCACAGTGCGTGACTGTGCTGAATACTGCAGGTGACTGTAACACAGTGGTAAGTATTTGAGTATGGAAGCAGATCTAAACATAGAAAAGGCACAGTAAGAATAGGATATGATAATCTTATGCTGTATGTTCAGTTCATCCTGGACTGAAACATCATTATGCGGTACATAATGGTATATTTAAAACAGAAGATTTATGTCACTGCTGACCATGGAAAAGCCAGTCTTTTTCTAAGAATGTTAAAACAAGCATATAACTGTCACAATAAAAAAAAATTGCTTCACGTACCATTTACAACTATCTTGCCACCACCTGTTGTGAAAATACTATGCTTTGGGAAACATTAATCTAAGAGATTTTTAGGGCACCTTCCAGCTCTGACATTCTAAAGTACTTTTTTTTTTTTTTCTTTTTTGAGACAGGGTCACATTCTGTCACCTCGGCTAGAGTGCAGTGGTGTTATCACAGCTCACTGCAAC